TGAAGACACCCAGTCCTTTCTGTGCTGTGTCCCCCTCCTCCATCTTGTGACTCTTATTTCTTGATTTTTCTCTTGGGAATCTCTTCCTTTTCTCGCTTAGCTTTAGTCACATTAACTTCATTGCTGTGTTGGGAACAAATCAGCCTTACCCTCAGCTCAGGGCTCTCTTCCTGTGGGCTTTGCTCAAACCTTTTTCTCATTGAGCCTTTTCTGGAGCACCACTGGAAATGGACTCCCTTCCCCTCTCTTCCCTGCTCCATTTTCTTCTTTGGGCCTTATTGCCATCTTTAATATGCACTTTTTTTTTTACTTATCATCTGGGTTTACCATTTGAATGAAAGAACCATGAAGGCCGTTATTTCTTACTATTTTGTCTATTACAACATTGCAGCTCCAAGAAGAATGTCTGACCCACTGTGGTCTTCAGTTGACGATAGGTTGAATGGATGGATGAATGAATGAGTTGTAGTTGCCAGATTAATAGGTTTACTGCTGTAACAAGTAGACGTAGGAATGCATTGTGGGCAGGATTTATACTAATATGGATGCTCTAGGAAGATTTCCAAGATAGCAATTCCCAGGTTGGATTGGAGGAAGTAGAAATGAGAGGAGGTAAGAAGATGCACCTGAGGATTGGTTTTGGGAATAGGGTTGGGGCTTTTGAGACACACTGGGAGCAACACCTAGCAGCTGTGGCTGTGAGAAGCAAATGATATTGTAATGGAGATAAAGAAAGGTACCATGGTAAGTTTTGATTTTATCTTCTTTTAGTAAAGGTTGGCAGGACAACTTTAAGAGAATTTAGGAAGCAAAATCAGTTTCAAGTATGTTTTTCAGCTTTTTTTTCAAATGTATAGCCAGATGTACATAGCATAAAATTGCTGTCAATATGTCTCATGTAACTTAATGAAGACCCTCAGTGCTTTCTGTACTGCCCCCAACTCATCACTCATAAGAACTTTTTAAAAATTTAAGAGATTACAAAAAGATTAAAATCCCATAAGTCAGGTTATGAATATAATGCATCTAGTTCAACATCCTCACTTCCATCCTTCTCTATTTTTTCCCCTCCTATCCCTGCAACCACTTCCAGTTTTCTGGTGGTTTATTGAATATAAGAGTATTATGGTCTTTTCTGCCCAGACTGGCTTTGAACCATGATCTTCATATCTCAGCCTCCTGAGTAGCTAGGGTTACAGGTGTGAGCCACCACCATCCAGTTACCCTACAAGTTTTAAATGCACGGTTCAGTGGCACTATATGTGTTCACATTCATAGGCAAACTCCACCTCCATTTTCTTTAGGACCTTTTATCTTTCCATACTGAAACTCTGTGCCAACTAAACAACAATAACTTCTAATTTCCCCTATTCCCTGGCAACTACGGTTCTTTAGTCCTTCATGAATTTTGGCCACTCTAGGTACCATATGTAAGTGGAATCACATAACATGTGTATCTGTCTTATTTCACTCTTCATATATCTTCAAGGCTCAAGCATGTTGTACTTTTTTGTCAGATCCTCATTCCTACTGTGTGTATTTATCCCTTAACAGCCATTGGGTTGTTTCTGATTTGGCTCTTGGGGATGTTATTATGAACATTTAATGAACAAATATTTCTTTCAATCTCTATTTTTATTTCCTTTGGCTGTGTGTCCAAAAGTGGGATTGTTTAATCATATGGTAATTGTGTTTGCTATTTTGAAGAGCCTTCTTGATTTTGGTTTTCAACAAACTGTGGTTGTGATGGTGGAGAGTATCCCAGTTAGGACTGAAGCATGGATAAAAGCATTTGTAGGCACAGATTCACTTCAAGGAACCTGATAGATGTCATAGAAGAAGAGGAGAATGAATTCCTTTAGAGAGGGATAAAGGAGAGAGTAAATCCAAGGACTATGCGTTAGGAAGGAGAGGCAGTGAAGGGAGCCAGTCGGTGAGACAGAAGAGGAACAATCAGAGTTAGGAACAGAGCTCTGAGTGTAGATGCACTTAACTCAAATTCATCCATATTCATTGGGTACTTTTCAAGAACTTCCTTTCAGATGAGGAAGCTCCTATTTAAGTATGACATTACTTTTAAGAGTTCAGGTATAGTAGGTCACAGATCACTACTGAGCATTGAATTTCTAAGACACAGATACTTTTCAAAAAGGTCTAGAAACACTAAAAAAAAAGTAGAAATTTATATCTCTTAGTTAGCTGTTCTCCATTTTCTCCTTTGTATTGATAATTCTTTTTTTTAATTTCTTTTTTATTGTGAAAATACCATACAGAGGGTTTATAATTACACGGGCAAGGTAATGAGTACATTTCTTACTGAGCATTGTTGCTTCCTCCTTTGTTTCCCCTTCTCATCCCTTCCCATCTCCCCTCCCCCACTTCCACCTTCTCCCCAGCCCCCCAAAAGTTGAAAAGTTTGTTTTTTGATATGATGTCTTGTACATCTCATTGTTGCAATGGGTCCACCTGTATCCCTATTTAAACAATTTGTTTTTTCCTTTCCCCTCTACAAAGTATACCAACATCAAACACAGTGAAAACAAGGGTTATATCGTAGGGGAGGGACATACAAAGCAACAAAGAAATCATCTTATAAAGGTGTTAGAAACAATCACAAGAGAGAAAAAAATTTGATTACACCTTTTTTCATTTTGAAAGATGACACAAAATAAGAAAAGTGATGCAATCTGGGTGCCAGTGGCTTTTGCATGCAATCCTACCTCCTCTGGAGGCTGAGATTTGAGGATTGTGGTTTGAAGATAGTTTAGGCAGGAAAGTCTGTGAGACTCTTAAACTCCATTAAACAACCAAAAAAAAGATGCAGAAGTGACTTTGTGGCTCAGGTGGTATTTGAAAATGCTAAGGGACAAGTACCCAGGTTCTGAGTTCAAGCTCTTGTATTGGCATGTGTGTGTGCTTCAACACACACGCACACACACGCACACGCACGCACACACACACACACACACACACACCCCTAAAAGAAAAGAAAAATGGTGCTGAGCATGATGGGTTATGCCTATAACCCCAGCTACATGGGATCTGGAGATCAGAAAGATCTCATCTCAAGGCCAGCCTGAGCAGATATTAGTGAAGTTCCTGTCTCAGTAAACAAGTTAAGCATGGTAGGGTTCACAAGTATAATCTCAGGTACATAGAAAGCATAGATAGGAAGATCATAGTTTGATGTTGGCTTAGGCACAACAAGAATCTATCTGAACAAAATAACTAAAGCACAAAATGACTGGAGGTATAGATCAAGTGATTGATAGAGTACCTGGCTAGCAGATGCAAGGCCCCATACTGACTTCCCCACCACATACACACAAAAAAAATGTTTTTCTTTTCTTGCGATTGTTTGTAACACATTTATAAGATGATTTCTTTGTTGCTTTGTATGTCCCTCCCCCATGGTATAACACCTGATTCACTGTATTTGATGTTGGTATAATTTGTGGAGGGGAAAGGGAAAAACAAATCGTTTAAATAGGGATACAGGTGGACCCATTGCAACAATGAGATGTACAAGTCACTATGTTGAAAACGAACTTTACAACTTTGGTGTGTGGGGGGAGTGAGTGGAGAGGATAGGGTGGGGGGGGCGGGGAGGATGGGAAGGGATTGGAAGGGGACACAAAGGAGGAGGCTACAATGCTTGATAAGAAATGTACTCATTATCTTGCCCATGTAATTGTAACCCCTCTGTACACTATTTTCACAATAAAAAATAAATAATAAAAAATATTAAAAAAGAAGTGTGTACAGCACATGTGGACAGCTCAGATAGCTCTCAGACATTGTGTCCCTTATCCTACTTGTTCCCCACACCCCACTTGCAAGGTAAACTTCGTTACCCTAAGTTTTAGCACCGCAGGCTAATTTTCCCTGTTTTGAACCTCATGTCAGGGTCCTGCCATGGCCCTTTTCACCTGTGTTTGAACCCATCCACACTTTTGCTCATGGCTGTAGTACAGCGGTACTGTGGGCATTTCTATCACCCATTCATTCTCCTGGCTACAGGTATTTGGGTACTTTATAGTCTGGGTTGTACTGTGAACAATACTATTATTAATGTCATCATCACTATTAAGATAGAATCTTTGCATGTTGTTGTTGTTTTATCTATTTAAAGTTGTCATTGCTTAGTTTGTCTTTTCTGTTAAGGGTTTTCCTATCTTTTCTGCCTTTTTTTTTTTTGGTCAGTCGTGGAGCTTGAACTCTAGGCCTAGGTGCTGTCCCTCAGTTCTTCAGCTCAAGGCAAGCGCTCTACCATTTGAGCCACAGCACCACTTCTGACTTTTTCTGCTTATATGGTGCTGAGGAATCGAACCCAGGGACTCATGCATGCAAGGCAAGCACTCTACCACTGAGCCACCTTCCCAGCCTGTTTTGCTGCCTTTATTGTTAATACAAAATAGAATTTCCTTAATATTCGCTTTGAAAGTGTCAAGTGCCACAAGAAACTGAGCTTTCTTAAAAACTTCTGTCTACCTGCATTCAACTTTTTCATTTAAAGTACCTATTTAAAATTTTTCTTCAACAACCCAGATAATGTGCTTTAACTGCTTATTGAACCTGTCAAAATTCTTCCATCTCTTAATGAGGTGAATTGTTCAACTTTGGAACAAATATTTTAATTTTGGCACTGTGATGAGTTGTGGAAAGAATAGCTCTCACATCTCAGTTGCAGAAAGAATAGCTTTCATGTCTCAGTTCTGTTACCAAACTCATATTGTACTTTCCACAGCAATAAAAGCAGAATGAGAGTTAGCAAAAATGGCATGGATATGGATGGCTGCTTCAGTGTATAATGACATTACTAATTCAGAATTGATATGGAATCTTACCAGTTGGGATATTTTAGGATCAAACTGAAATTTGCTATGTTTAATAATAACACATGCTTCATCTATTTTATATACTTGCATGATTATATAATTATACGGTCTGTTTGCCAGTCAAACTGTCTGTCAACATACTCACTAAAGTGTTCTTTACAGAAAGAGCAATAGAAGACCATGAGCTGGTGGTTGAAGTGGTATCTACCTGGGGAATGGGAGAGGAAAATAAGCTATACTTTAGAAAAAATTATGCCAAATATGAATTCTTCAAGAACCCAATGGTAAGTGAAATCTCCATAAGCAGCAATGGAAATTAAATGAACCCATTAAGTTTTATATGAAGAGGAGGATTAGTCAATAATAACATACAATTTAATTTAGTAGTATAGGTATATACTCCATTAACATTATGCATACATTCTCATTTTAGCAATTATTAGTCAACATCGTACTAGGAAGTTCAGATACATACACGGGAACTTATATTTTAGCTTTTTTTTTTTTTAGAAAATCTGAAGGAAGATGAATTTGATTATTTAATTTAAAAGCATAGGGAAACCTAATTTGGGGAAATTAATGCTGATTCCTTTGTCCTTAAGGAAAACAGAACAAAGCAAAATAACCATACATTGGTCGGGGGAAATTAATTACTGTAGGGTCTCAAGTATATTCCAGAATATTAGAGCTTCAATTCTTTAAAATATTTAGGAAGTTTAAATAGGAAATCTTTTAAAGTAATTGGTGGTTATGGGAAGTGTTGTAGCTTAACCAGAAATGTAAGATTGACATGTGTCAACCTTTAAATGAATGTTGTTTGCAGTGCAGTTATTTCTAAGCTAAGTAGAAATGGGATTAAAAATCAGTACATTATCTAGTAACTACTACGTTCATTATAAGTCTCTTTAAAAGAAAATAAATGTGTGTCACATCCTAATGAAGACTGGGTATCCAGAGTCATCAGAATAGCCTCTGGGCTCATTACTTTAAATTGTTTTTGTCTCTGCAGCTGTAACGTATTTTTGCATGAAGCTTGGGATAATTGGATTGAAATGATCCTTTATAAAATATATATGATACACACCATAATAGGATATTTTCAAACCCTGAAAGATATCTTCCATTCTCCTTCATTTTAACTTATTAATAGAAACATAATGGGATGATCTTTGACAAAAGAAAATAAGAGTTCTAATAAAAATTAAATAGAATTAGGTTTGAAGGGGAAAGTGTATTCTTGTTGTGAATCTTTATTAAGGCATGAATTTAACTCACATTTAAAGAACTGTGTGGTTTAGTTCCCCATCCTTTTGAATTATTGAATTTTATTTAAATAAGACTGGACATGCCTTTTGTAGACCCAGAGCAATGTTTTGTTTTTGTTTTTTTTTCAATTTGGGGGTCACATTATAGTATCTGAGGATATTTTGGGTGTCATACCATCAAGTTAAAGACCCACTGCCTGGAATGTTGCTGAAAACTGTATAATGCATATAGACTAGACCAAAATGTTAGTAGAATGGTTATTGAGAAACCCTGTTTTGGAAGAAATTTAGCAGCGTGTAGTTTTCCAAACTTGTCTCATCCTGAACCTTACTTAATGGAGTCACAGTTCTTATCAAGAACACAGAATCCAAGACCTCCCCAGACTGACTGACTCAGAAAAGGCAAGACTGAGGCCTGGGAATTCATATTTTAAGCAACTTCCCTGGCTGAATTGTGTGATTAAACAAGTCTGGAAAAAGAGTAACTGGGAAGGCCTAGGCCTAGACTTTGAGCAACACTACTGCATCCTGGCTCTTTTCTGTTCTGGGATGGGATCCTCGGCAGCATCACTTTTTCCTGTTACTTCTCTGTGTCTTGACTGCAAAATATTTAATTGTCTTTTAATGCCTAGTTTTGGGGACTTAGAAAGAAATGTGGAGCAAGGTCACTGCCAGCTTGATGGCAGGATTTGATCATTCCAGGCACTAGCATCTCCATGATGGGCACCATTGGGGGTGTCTGCTAGTCTTCAGGTTCAGCTCTGCATATGCAGGTTATGAAACAATATGTGCAAGTGTGAAATTCCACAGTAAAGCCCCTCTGAACAGTGAGCTGACAAAAATGACAAGATGGAAATCAAGTCTTCTCTGGAGGTATTAGTAATAGGTAAATAAATTCAAAATATTTTATGCCAGTGTGTGGATATGGAATAATGAGGCTTGGTGAGATTGGTTTGCTAAGGGAAAGGGGAGGAAGGCGCATGAAGGATGAGGGTGGTCAAGGGACATAATTTGCATATATGGGCATGTCAAAATGCATCCCCCTTCCACAACTAATAGAAGTGAGGAAAAAAAAAAAAGTAGAGAAATCCTACAGCATCAATTAAAGATACCCACAGATTGAATTCCAGGACTGGCATGGTCTCAATAATTACTTTGTATAAATGTTAGACACACTTGTTTAGAGAATTTTGGCTTTAGATTTCTATATCAATTGCAACGTAGTTTTCTTAATTTGGGTTTGGGGATAACTTAACCTGTGTCTTTTCCTCAGTACTTTTTTCCAGAGCACATGGTGTCCTTTGCAACTGAAACCAATGGAGAAATATCCCCTCCACAGATTGTGCAGGTAAAAGATGTTTTAATTAGACCATGTCAATAATAGTACAATGAATGGAAACTCTTACACCCTTATTCACTCATTCCTAGACTTGGAAATGATATGCCTTGAATGATTAATTTTTCCTGAAGGAGAAACCAAAAAGAAATAAAAAAAAAACCTAAGTGAACAAAGGTCCCTGCTAATATTCTTTTCCCTGGTTATTTGCTAAAGGATTTTAAATTTTTAAAATGCTTATTGTGAAAGGAAACTTGGCAAAAATTTTCTCTATCTTGTATGTAAAGAATATGTAAGTACTTGAAAAAATAAAAATCCGAGTTAGATACTTAGTATTAGCTGTTATAATCAATAACCTCAATCTTGTTGGGATAAAATACTTAGCAATTAAATTAGTGGAGGAAAATAGAGACTACATCCATTTCACATGCTAACGTTTATAATATCTGTGATGGAAAAAAGTTGCATACCATTTCAAGATACTTTCAAGAATACAACTAGTATTGCTAATACTTGTATACCTTATTAAAATCTCCTTAGCATTGTACCTCTTTGACTCCTTTCTTCCAAATGGTCAGTTCTTTGAGACAGTAGTTCTCTAAGCCTTGCTGTTAAAACTGGTAAATGATTTCTATTACTTTATTTTCAGTGCATTTGTAGCTTTGTTATCAGAAATGTGGTAGTTTATTTTTGCAGGTTGTATGGTTCTTTGCACGGTGCTTCAGGCTTTGCTGTGCTCACTTGGGAACCTGTGGGATTTAATGAAGACAACATTTACCATTTCTAAGATAGCATGACTTTTAGTATATTAGGTAGACATACCTACCACTAATTTGTTTTCTGTGCTCTTTCTAATAGAGCATGTTTTGTTTTTACTTTTCAGAACACATGAGGTATATGATCAGTCCCAAGAGAATTTCCTACAGGCTGCTTCTGTGTTATTGGGTTCCCCAGAACTCCCTTAGTATATTAGGGTAAATGGCAGCAGTCCAGAACCCCTAATCTCAGTCTGGACACTTCACCATTGGGACACAGTTGGAGATCGAGAATTTCCTTCTGCCTCCTCCCCAAACCCTCCTCTCCCAGAATTATAAGTTATACTGCTTTAATGTTAAATTACAAAAACAAGAGAAATCAGTCTTTGGAATCAGATAGTCCTGCACATGCCCCTGACCTCTTCTCTCCACTGAGGCAATGTTTCCATTTTTTAAAAGGTTTCTCCTTTCTCTAGTGTGACCTTTATGACTCCCTTTAAAAAATTTAATTGGTTTGGTTTAATAACTTGGAAAGCACTCAAACTAAAAAAAAATCTGCTTGCCTGTTTTGCATGTCAATTAATTAATATCTGTGACTCATTAAATAAAAAAATCAATTCACATTTAAAATACAAATATCTATCACCAATGCTTCCGTGAATAGTCCTTTAAAATATATTACATAGTTTTTGTTGATAATTTATTTTAGTTTCAGTTTTTTCCATTTATTAGGGATTTCTATTTTCTTCTTCTAATGGGACAATAATATATTTCCACTGCCTTATTAAAGACCTTGAACACAGCCACTCACATATAACTATTTGTTTTCTGTCTCCATTTCCTGAACAATTCATGCCTACAGCCTCAGTTAATTATTACTGTGTATCACATTCTTTCAAATCTGAATGGCTTTAAATTACCTGTTCACCTTTTGCCAACAATTTTGAGGATCAGGGATTTGCGCACAGTTTTCTGGGTGGATCATCTCTGACTTTGGATCAAGGCTGGGGACCAAGGTTCCACTTCCAGACTGGTATTTTTAGTTCAAGTACAGCTTTGTTCCTAGCTCCACATGCTACCTCATTCTCCAAAGTTTTTGTAGTTCGTTACGTTTCTCACACACTGTAGTTCTCAAGTTAATCACATGCCTTATGTGCCAGCTAGTTCCCAAGAGTGAAGTCATGGGGCTGGGACTCTCTAGAAGTGGCAGTGTCACTTCCTCTATCTTGGTCAAAACTATGTTAGATTCACCCATATTTAAGGGAGTGGAGAAACAAATGACCTCTCTTCATGGTTCAGAAGAGCACACAGGATGGTAGATATTGGTGTAGTTGGTAGATGACTTGACTCAACTTCTCACCTAAAAATTGAAATCAGGGTTGTGGTTTTACTTATACTTTATAATAAATGAAGTTGGTAGGCAAACTTAAAATATTAAGTGAAACCACATAAAATGATGAAAAGTATCAGGATTTAAATCTCTTGATGATGTCCAGCTTATCAACTAGATATTTTGATAACTTACAATTTGGGGTTTTAGCTAAATATTGATCACTGAGAGTGTATATTTTCATTGGGAACTTATCTCAGGTTTTTGGAATGACTTATTTTCTCTTGTTTGTGCTATATGATTTCTATAGTTATAAAGGATGTTGTGTTTGGCTTTTTTTGTTTATATTTAATTGCTGAAAATCTATGATATCAATGTCATATCCTTATCTTCTAGATGTTTCTAAGTTCAAGTACATATCCTGAAATTCATGGCTTCTTACATGCAAAAGAACAGGGAAAGAAGTCCTGGAAAAAAATTTACTTCCTTTTAAGAAGATCTGGCTTGTATTTTTCTACTAAAGGGACATCAAAGGTAAGTTGAAGTATCCATGGTATGTTCTGATGATTTAATCAACAATACATTAGAATGAGATTTTATTTGTTGTATTGGTTATTATTTAAATCAAGAGTTGGTAATTATTATTGGATCCAAACCATTTACTATAATCTATCTAAAACTATTTCATTTTATTTCATGAAGGTTTCCATCTATGCTTGATGTAATCTGTATGCTTTTTATTAAGTACATAATAAGCAACATAGTTGCTTATTTTTCTCCATCCTGAGTTCCCTCTGTTCTTATCTGAGGTTTTAGATTTTGAGGTCCACTGTAGTTTGCATGTTTTCTTTCACATCAAGACATGCAACTAATCATCAGAAGCAGTCCAGATCAGATAGACAGACTCTACAGGAAATTGTAGTGATACTTCTGCAAGCCTTGGAGCTATACGATGAGTTATACTTATATTCCCACCTCCTTCTTTCTATGTGCATGTGCATAGATTTTTCTGTGCCATCTTGCACTAGTGTTTTACTCTTTGATCCATGTACAGTTCTAGAATAAAAGTAAATCAGGAGAAGAGATCAACATGCTTCTTACTATTAGCCAGTGTTCCTTGAGCTATCTTCATTGCTGTTTGAATGACCAAGTTATAATGATGACTTTTGCAATATCAGTGAGTGGAAGAAGTGTAGTCATCAACTTTATAGAAAAAAACCTTTCTGTTAGCAAATCACTTTCTATCAAAGAATGAAGTAATAAAAGCAAACATCTTAATGGTAGTAAGACATTTCTTTCCTTTCTCATTGTTCCAAGGGCCCTAGGCTGAGTTTTATTTTATTTTATTTTTTACAATTTTCTGCCTTCTTCCCCAATTAAGGATAAACCTTATTAGGATAAAATGCTTAAAGATAGGTAACATGCAGAGAAGAATGTCAGTATCCTGCTAAATGACAAATTTCTTAGGGTTTGTGTGGGATTGCTGCTCAGATTACTGAAGAAAGAGAGACAGAGAGAGAGAAAGAGAGAGAGTGCATACATGAGCACAAGTGCATGTGTGTGTTTGGCTGCTAAATTTTAGTTCATGTGAGATCATCTGGGATATTGTTAAAATGTAGATGCTGACTGAACAGGTCTGAGGTATGCCCTGAGACTTTGCATTTCTAACAGGCTTTGGGAAGATGGAGATTCTGCTGGTCTGAGACCACACTACTGGTAGAAGGTCTTAGAGAACAAATGCATTTTGGCCACTTTTGATTATATATTCACCCTCAGAATTAAGCACTTCTCCAAGTTATTAACCTATCCTGGAAAAATGTGACCCAGTGATTTCCCATGACCAGCTATAAATCTCATGGATTTCCAAGAGAAGAAATAGCTGCTCATGATCCCACTTTGCTTTGGAAATTAGACACTTTCCTCTGCAGGTAATTTCCCTGAATTCCTCTATACACACTTCCTTTTTTCCATAGAAAATGACAGTCATAGAGCCCAGCTCACTGTACTGCATCACCCAGACCACAAATCCAAGGGATATTTGAGTCTAAATGTAGCAGGAATCACCACTGTTTCTCTTTTCCTTCTCAAACTGCTACAGAATCTCAAACTAACCTTCTGCTGTTGATGAGGCTGCTGTCTGAAACCTAGATAAAGAAAATATTGAGAAACTCATTCTTGACTATCCTTTCTTTCTTACATTTCATGAAATGATGGCTAAAGAGAAAAAGAAGTTTAAATTGAAAATTGGATATATGATGGTTATGCAATTAAGGAACTTAAGTTATAAACAATTTGCCACTTACTATCTTATATGAACCTGTATGGAGTTACTGGCTACTTTAGGATACAGTTCATTTTATCCTTTTTGAGTTTATTTTTATGACAGTGTATGGAAAATTCTGTGTGAGATAGATAATTTTGCCCATATCATAATGTAATCAAAATACAAAAATGGGAAACCATGTATTATTTCAATATTTGTGCATATATTTTTGTTTTATTTTTATTATTTAAGGAACCACGGCACTTGCAGTTTTTCAGCGAATTTGGCACTAGTGATATCTATGTGTCAGTGGCAGGCAAAAAAAAACATGGAGCTCCGACACCCTATGGCTTCTGCTTTAAGGTACAGGCTTAATATTTTGATATGTGTGTAAAGCAAGTCTCAGCCTTTTAGGTAAGCTTAAGTTTCTTTTAATTTCTTTTGAAAAAGAGAGCTTTCTATTATATATAGGAGAATTTTAGTGGCTTTTATTTCAACAGGTGTTACCTTCAAGATATGCATTAACGATAAACAATGTGCTGTGGCCTTCTAGCCTAACAAAGCAGGAGGGCCCCGAGACCTGAAAATGTTCTGTGCGGAAGAAGAACAGACTAGGATGTGCTGGGTGACTGCCCTTAGATTGCTTAAGGTAATCTTTCTTAAGTGGAGCCTAAGTTTATGTTCAATGTGATGGGTACCAGGAGAGTTTGAAAACATCATGCGAAAATTCACCATGAATGGTGTGGCTAGATGAGAAAGAAAAAAAAATACACCACCAAGTGTGTTCATTGTTTTGAACTTAAAAAAGCAAACATAGTCCATATATCTTTTGTGTGTGAAAGAAGGATTCCATTTGATTGCCAGTAAACCTACCTGAAGTATGTTTTAAGATGACCCTAGTGATTATATCTTTATTGCAATTGTTTTAGGTTCATGTAAGGGTTTTATAAGTTGCTTTCTAGTTTAATAAGTCAAGTTTCGAGAATTTTCCCCATGAATAGGTATTGAAAAAAAATGGTGCCTTTCCTGGGCTTAAACTTAGGGCCTGGGTAATTCCTGAGCTTTTTTGCTCAAGGCCAGGTCTCTAACCATTGAGGCACAGCTCCACCTCTGGCTTGTTGATGATTAATTACAAATATGCATCCCAGGGACTTTCCTGCCTGGCTTGACGTTAAACTCAGATCTTAGTCTCTTAAGTAGGCAGTAGCCTGGTTAGACATCTTTATTTAAAAAACTAGTACACCAGTGAATTTAATATAACCTTAATATAAAATTGACCAATGCTTCATTTAGAAAACATCAAAATTGGTGTGAAAGATGGTAGTCATAATTGAGAAAAGATGAAAATGTGCAATCTAAAGAATGTGACTATCCCTATTGCTGCCAAAGTCACCCATATATATGGTTTACTGGTGTGCTTAAATCATTTCTCTAAAATGTGATGTTTCAGCATTTCCCCAAGAACTCTATAATTCATACCTGGAAGCTAAGATAATTTACCAATTTATAGACTATATATGCTATGCTCTGTGTGTATTATGTACAAGGGAAGAGTTAGATTCCTAACAATGCATTACAATAACTTTTTGTGACATTTGGAAATGAAAATCAGAGTGAGTGGGATCTTATTTGAAACTTGAGGCTTCTCATTTTATTTTGGCTGATAGGCGGTGTGGTTGTCTTAACAAAAAGCTTCCTGTTGGTTTACAGTTTTCTGAGTTTTTCAGTTTCATGGTTTTCCTTCTGCTGTTGCCCTTAGCCACTTCTTTCTTAGCCACTTCTGTGATTGGTTTATTTTACTCCCATCCTTGGCAAGGGAGAGATGAAGGGAAGGATAATCCCAATCTGATGAGTTATCCTGCAGGGATTAGAGGACAGTTTTGTGTTGCATTCTTATTTTTCCTGTTTTTATTTAGGTAATTTTATTAAAATTACCTAAATAATTCTACAAAGAGCTTTCACTCCGATATGCCCATTTATACATGTAGTACATCGATATCAGTTTCACCCCTTCCATCACTCTCCATCCTATTATTCAACAACATCTTGTATTATTTTAATTTTTAAAATCGATGTAAAATTTTATGTAATAGAAAATTAAACTACTTTTATACTTTATACTTAGTATAAACAATCAAGAAGCACCTACGATAGTCACAACCACTTCAAAAACAGATTGAACACCCATAAATAGTACTTCCCAACTCCGGACAACACTACTCTTCATGTTGTCTCCATGAATTTGCCTATTAATAATTCATAAAAGCAGAATAATTTAATATGAAACCTGTACCTGATTTTTATTCAGCAAAATAGTTTTCTTCCCTCCATATTATATCTTTCTGTTTTTTTTTTTTATTGAAAAGGGTGATGAGCTGGGGGGGAGGTTATAGTTATATATGTAAGGCAGTAAGTACATTTCTTTTTAATCATTGTTACCCTATCCCTCTTTATCTCTCTCTTACCCCTCCTGTCTACCCTCCCCCAAGTTGTAATGTTCATATCCAACATAGTGTCAAATGAGTATCAATGTTGCTGTGATTCATCCATTGTTCTGCTGTTTCTGTGATTCCCTGTCCCTTTCACATATTGCATTGTCTATTAATTGCAAAACATGGGGTACAAAAAACTAAGAGAAATGAAGAAAGAAAAAGACAATAGAGAAAAAAGAATGAACTATATATAGGATCTATTGAAAACCTCATTTCCATAAGTTGTAGTTTGTGTTAATATGCTTCATCATATATAGTCCTTTGTACTAAGCACTTGGGTTGTTGAGATTCCCTTGTTAAGAATATCATATTGTAGTTCTTACAAATGAGGGAAATCAGATGACCTGCTTTTCTTTGGGTCTGGCTTATTTCACTTAATTTATTTTTTCCATGTCTTTCCTTTTCCTTATGAATGGAACAATGTTATTCTTTCTGATGGAAACATAGAATTACATTGTATATATATACCACATTTTCTTGATCCATTCATCTACTGAGGAGCATCTGGGTTGGTTCCATGTCTTGGCTATGCTATATAATGCTGCAGTGAACATCATTGTACTGGTGGCTTTAGTGTGTCCTTGTTTTGGGTCATTTGGGTAAATTCCCTGAAGTAGGATTGCTGGGTCATAAGGGAACTCTATGTGTAGTCTTTTGAGGAACCTCCACACTGCTTTCCAGAGTTATTGAACAAATTTGCACTCCGACCAACAGTGCAATAGTGTTCTCCTTTGATCACATCCCTACCAGCATCCGTTGTTAGATTTCTTGATTATGGCCCTTCTAACTGGATTATGATGGCATCTCAATGTTGTTTTGACTTGCCAGAGATGTTGAGCAATTCTTCATGTGCCTCTTGGTCATTCATATTTCCTCTTCAGAGCTGTCTCTCTTAAGGTCTTTAGCCCAGTTTTTAATGGGATGGTTGTTTCTTTGGGGGGGGTTGTTTTAGAGTAATTTAATTTCTTGAGCTGATGGTATATTTTAGATATGAAACCCTTGTCTGTTGTATGGGTGGTGAAGATCTTCTCTCAGTCTATGGGGTTTCTATATATTTTTCTAGGTATATCCTTTGCTGTTCAGAAGCTCTGAAGTTTAATGCAGTCACATTTATGCAGTCTTTCTTTGATTTGTTGTGTTAACTACAGTTTGGCCTCCCACTTGCTCTACTTATTTGCTCAAGACTAGGTTTTTGCTGATTATTTTAGAGATGGAATCTAGTGGAGTTTTCTCCCTGGTTGGACTCAAATTACAATCCTCTGGATCTGAGTCTCTTGAATAGCTAACATTAGAGGTGTGAGCCCTGGCACCCAGCCATATCATAGCTCATTCTATTTTATGGATACATAAATAGTCCATTGTGTATATATATGTTTTGGATAAACAATTTATCCTTTCATTTAGTGATGGACGTTTATTGATGAATAGTATTATTATGAACATATTTGCAGAAGTATTTGGACAGCACTCTTCAGGTTTCTGACAGGTATGCAGGGAACTAGAGTTGCTGGTTATATGATAATTCTGCATTTAACTTTTTGAGGAATTGTCAAAATGTTTTCTCCAGTGGCTGGAATATTTTAACCTTCCCATGGCATTTTTCCCATATATTTGCCAAAATTTGTCACTTTCCTGTTTGAAATATTATAGCCATCTTAGGGGAAGTAACATGGTATTGAAAGTTTTGTGGACTTTTTCCAATGGTTTATATTGAGCTTTGTGTTTTTCAATTCCTGCTGGTGTTTTGGTATAGAGTCACTTTGGTTACATTATTATTACTTTTGTTGTTGTTGTTTTGATGCTGATTGCCATAGACATGTAGAAAAGAGAGCAGGGAAAGAGGGAGGGAAGGAAGGAGAGAAAACAAAAGAAGAAAATAAAGAATTTCAGAGGCCCTGAGAAGCCATCTAGTTGAGGGCTTAGTTATAAGATAGGGAAATAGCATGGAGCCACTGAAGTTACACTTGCCCCAGCCCCATCTATCTATCTATCTATCTATCTATCTATCTATCTATCTATCTATCTATCTATCTATCTATCTGTCTTCTGTCTGTCTGTCTGTCTGTCTGTCTATCTATCTAATATAGCCTAGCAACCTTATCCAGCACCCTTCTACCATCAGTGCTGGTGAAAAAATACCTGGTTATTTCAGGTTTTCTCTGGTTTCCTGAACTTAGGTATCATGCTGGACTGATAGAGGAAATGCTCTTCTACCTGGCTGTTAGGTCTTTCTTCCCTTTAAGTTGAGCTTAGCATTAGGAATCTAGATGTAAAACCACTTCCTTAAATCAGTACTTCAGTGAATCTGTGATTTATCAGCATAAATCATTAATTATGTCTCATGTAAAGAAAAAAACAGATTCTAATAAAACTATGGCAAGCCAAGCACCGGTGGCTCACACCTGTGATCCTAGCTACTCAGGAGGCTGAGATCTGAGAATTGCAGTTCAGAGCCAGCCTGGGCAGGAAAGTCTGTGAGACTCTTATCTCCAATAAACCGCTCAGAAAACTGGAAGTGGCACTGTGGCTCAAGTGGTAGAGTGCTACTCTTGAGCTGAAGAGCTGAGGGACAGCACTCATACTCAAGAGTTCAAGCCCCATAACCGACAAAAACAATTAATAATATTAAGAAAATTTCTATTTGCATTTCTTTTATGGCTAAAGAGGTTGAGTATTTCTTCATGTGTCTATTGGCCATTCTTATTTTCTTTTCAGAGAAGTTTCTCTGTAAGTCCTTAGCCCATTTATTTATAAATAAAAGTTGTTTCTTTAAAGTTGTTTCTTTAAAGATTTGTTGTTGGGGGATTTAATTTTTTGAGTCCCAACTATATTTTATATATGAGACCTTTGTCCATTGTATGGCTAATGAAGATCTTCTCTCAGTCTGTGGGCTTTCTATTGATCTTGCTAGCTATGTCCTTTGCTATGCAGAAGCTCTGCAGCTTCATGTGATCCCATTTGTCCAACCTTTCTTTGATCTGTTGTGTTTCTGGGTTGCAGCATTATTTACCATAGCTAAGATATGGAACCAACCCAGATGCCCCTCAGTAGATGAATGGATCAAGAAAATGTGGTATATATACACCATGGAATTCTATGCCTCCATCAGAAAGAATGACATTGCCCCATTTGTTAGGAAATGGAAAGACTTTGAAAA